GCCATTTTTCCCACCAACTCATCAGAAAATCCAGGACTTCAAATCACCACAGTGAAGTTGGATGGTTCCAATTATTTGATTTGGGCACAGTCTGCCAAGATGTTCATTGGTGGCAAAGGCAAGATTGGCTATATTACTGGTTCTGAGAAAGAGCCAGCTGAGTCAGAGAAGGCATATCCATAGTGGTTTGCAGATAACGCTATGGTTATGTCTTGGCTAGTAAATTCGATGCAACCAAACATAACTGTTGGTTATATGTTTATGAAGACTGCTAAGCAGATTTGGGATTCAGTTCAACGCACTTATTCTCAGAGGTAGAATAATGCACTAATTTTCCAGCTGGGGCGAGATATCACCAGGATTTCTCAGGGTGACTTGACAGTTTCAGGTTACATCGCCAAGCTTCGTGCTATTTAGGAGGAGATGTCATATTATGATTCCTTCCACTCCTGGAATGATCCAGATGATTCAATTTTATATGCAGGAATTGTGGAGAAGAATCGAACGTTTCAGTTTCTTGCCGGGTTGAACGATGAGTTTGAGTATGCTCGTGTTCATTTATTGGGCTTATCATTATTCCTTACTCTTGAGGATGCATACTCCTATGTGTTGTCAGATGAGAGCCACCGGACTCATCCATTGGGTGTTGCTTCTGTTGATCGTTCTGCTATGGCAGTTCGAGTTCCCAACCTTTCAGGAACTTCACCATCCCAGTCAGTTCAGAGCACTACCACCGGTCCTCGTCTGGGACGACAACGCGGACGGTGTGATTATTGCGGAAAAATTGGTCACATCAAATCTCGTTGTTATGTTCTACATGGACGTCCACCGCAACAGAAACAACAACCTCGATCCTCTGCACATTCTGTTACACAACCAGTCTCGTTGTTAACTCCTGACAACCCTGCCTCTACATTTTCTGCCACAGTTACCTTGACTTAAGCTAATTTGGACAAGTTCAAGCAATTCTTCAACCAAATGGAGGCATCATCTTAGCTAACCTCCACTTATGCCCACTCAGGTACTATTGCATCTACACATAGCGTATCTACATCTTCAACACCGTGGATCATTGATTCTGGTGCTTCAGACAATATGACTAGTATGTCCTCACTCTTCCAATCTTATAGTATCTGCTCTGGCCAACGCAAGGTCAGCCTTATGGATGGCTCTCCATCTTCCATTGCTGGGAAGGGTCACATATCAGTTACTCCTTCATTAACTTTGTCAAATACACTTCATGTTCCAAAGTTGACTACAAATCTTATTTCTGTTAGTAGCGTTACCAAACAATTAAATTGTAGTGTAACGTTCTTTCCCTCTAATTGTATTTTTTAGGATCTGGTGTCGAAACGGACGATTGACAGTGGGCGTGAAGTGGACTGTTTATACCTGTTGGATGCTCCTTTGTCACCTCAAGCACATTCAGCTTCATTTTCTAATATTGTTTCATCTAATAAAGCCCAGTTTATGCGTTGGCACATGCGTTTAGGACATTTTCTTTTGGTTATTTGAAACATTTATTTCCTTCCTTATTTTGTAACGTGGCAGTGTCAGATTAATCCTGTGAAACATGTCATATGGCTAAACATGTTCGTTCCAATTATCCTGCTAGTAGTAATAAATCTGCTTTAACACCTTTTGATCTTGTTCATTCAGATGTGTGCCAGTTACTTCTAGTCTTGGATTTCGATATTTCGTGTTGTTCATTGATGATCATAGTCGTGTTACTTGGGTTTATCTTATGAAAACCAAAAATGAGGTATACACCATTTTTAAAAATTTTATGACAATGGTTTAGACTCAATATGGTCGTACCATTAAAAAATTCCGATCTGACCAGGGTACAGAGTACACTTATGGGGAGGTACAACGGTTATGTACAGAATTTGGGATTGAGCATCAGATGGCTAATGTTAAAACTCCTCAACAGAATGGTTGTTCTGAGAGAAAGAATTGCCACATCCTTGACTTAGCCAGAGCAATCTGCATTGGCATGAGTGTTCCCCAGTCATTTTGGGGAGATGCAGTTCTTACCGCTGTTTACATCATTAATAGGACTCCTAGGATTCTTAACTTTGCAGCCTCACTCTCAATCTTACATCCCAATTCATTTCTTTTTTTGATTCCTCCGCGAGTCTTTGGGTGTGTGTGCTTTGTTCAGCAGTTGGGGCAAACTCATACAAAGCTTGACCCCAAGGCTTTGAAGTGTGTGTTTTTGGGCTATTCTCACTCTCAATCGTCGACGGTTTATATCCATGGATGTTTCTTTCTTTGAGCATACACCATACTATAGTGGTTCAGTTGGTTCTCAGAGTGAATGGTTCCCATTGAATATAATGGATGATCACCTTCTTCCGTCTTCAACTCCTCTGCCATTACCTGTTTCTTCTTCTATGATTCCTCCTCATGATATCCCTCCAACAGGGGGAATTGTTCCTTTTTCACAGGTTTATAGTCGGAGACAACAGGTAAAAGCTTCTACTCCCATGATCGACTGCCCTGTTCCTTCGGCACTAGCTCTGCCTTCTCAAGTTATTGTTTCGCTTGATAATCGCCCCATTGCTCTTCGAAAAGGTAAATGTTCTGGTACTTACCCTATTTCTAATTTTGTTTCTGATTATGCTCTCTCACCCTCCTATCGGAGTTTTCTTGTTTCTATTGCCTTGGTTCCTGTTCCTTCTAATGTTGCAGATGCACTAGCACAACCTCAATGGTGTGATGCTATGACAAAAGAACTACAAGCACTTGAGAAAAATCAGACTTGGGAAATGGTTCCGCTTCCTATTGGACGAAAGCTGTGGGTTGTCGTTGGGTGTTTACAGTTAAGCATAATCCAGATGGGTCAGTTGCTCGTTACAAGGCCCGATTGGTTGCCAAGGGTTATGCTCAGACTTATGGCATAGATTATCAGGAGACTTTTGCCCCTGTTGCCAAGATGAATACCATCCGTGTATTATTTTCCGTTGCTGCAATTCGATCTTGGCCTCTATTTCAGTTAGATGTCAAGAATGCCTTTCTTAATGGTGATTTGCATGAGGAGGTGTACATGGTTCCTCCCCCGGGCTTTAGTTCTCCTGCTCATTCTGGTATGGTATGTCGTCTTCGTCGTTCTCTGTATGGCCTCAAGCAGTCTCCTCGAGCTTGGTCTAATCGCTTTGGCACTGCTATGCTCAAGTTTGGTTTCCATCAAAGTGCAGCTGATCATACCTTGTTTTTACGTCATTCAGGCGGCAAGACAGTTGCTCTCATTGTGTATGTCAATGATATTATTCTTACCGGCGATGATACTACCGGAATTAATGAGGTTAAGAGCTATCTTGGCTGTCAGTTTGAGATTAAGGATCTTGGTCCCCTACGGTACTTCTTGGGCATTGAGGTGGCTCGCTCCAAGACTGGCATTTTCATCTCTCAACGCAAGTATGTTCTTGACTTGCTTTTTGCTTTTGGTCAGCTTGGCGCTCGTCCTGCTGATACTCTGATTAAGCAGAATCATCAGTTGGTTGATTCTGAGGGGGAGTTGTTGTTAGATATTGGTTAGTATCAACAACTTGTGGGGAAGCTCATCTATTTATCCATGACTCGACCTGACATTGCTTATGCCGTGAGTGTCGTGAGTCATTTCATGCACTCTCCTTGTGCCCCACACCTTGATGCAGCTATTCGAATCCTTCGCTACTTAAAAGGGTGTCCAGGCCATGGTATTTTGTTTGCCAATCATTATCACTTACGTGTTGAGGCTTGGAAAAATGCTGATTATGCAAGATCAATTTCAGATAGGAGGTCTACTTCAGGTTATTGTACCACTATTGGTGGTAACTTGGTTACTTGGCGCAGTAAGAAGCAGAATATTGTCTCTCGATCTAGTGCAGAGGCAGAGTATAGGGCTATGGCACTTGGGGTAGGTGAGTTGCTTTGGCTGAAAACCTTGATGACAGACTTATGCCTTCCAGTATCACTTCCATTCTCACTCTACTGCGACAACAAGTCTGCCATTAGCATAGCAGCAAATCCCGTTCAGCGTGACAGGACTAAGCATATAGAGGTGGACCGTCACTTCATTCGAGAGAAGATTATCCCTGGTCAAATTTGCACTCCATTTGTCACAAGCTCTCAGCAGCTTGCAGACATTCTTACAAAGGGCGTCAGCAAGATTGTGTTTGAGAATGCATTGTCTAAGTTGGGCGTTTCAGATATCCACGCACCAACTTGAGGGGGAGTGTTAGCATATATGATACCACAATTTATGGTATGACTTACCATAATAGCAAAGATTTGACTATGCATATAATAGCATATATGATACCACGATTTATGGTATGAATTACCATAATAGCAAAGATTTGACTATGCTATAGAATATACCATAGAATATGCTTTAGAATAAGTTATGATTTGATTTTGATTTAATTTAGTTTCCTTTCTTGTAATATGAGAATGTGCTCATTTTATCTATAAATACTAGAGCTGTGAATGAGTAATTCATATCATTCAAGCCTTTACGCAATTCTCTCATTTCTCTTCTTTTTTATATGTTTCTACTAATAGCAACACACATTGAACCTAAATTCTCCTAAGCAACCCATGATTAATTGATGGGTACATATAATAACCCTATCATTTCGGCACAATGATGATAAACCAAATGCATTAGGAACACAATGCAATTACTCTTGGATCATAGATTGTTGCCCATCAATTAAGGAGCATGTACGCAGCTGAAATTTCGCCATGTGAAGCCCACTAAAATCATGTTACATGGGCTTGCTTATGTTTTAAAATCATTTTAACAAAACAAGAAAGAGGGGAAAGAAAAAAGAAAACAATAAAAAAATATATTTTGGAGGAAGGGCGTAGGTAGAAGGTGTGGAGAGCAAGGTGGTTTGATTTATCCTGCATATATTGCATGTGGAAGCAAGAATTTGTAATTTCACTTCAAAAATTTAAAATTGACAGGCTGATTTGCCCCAAGACATTAGAATTAGAAATTAATTACTAACCCTGTTGAGATAATTCATCTGTGTTATGACGCATGTAGCCACAACAAACATGAAAAACCAGGTCTCTGGATAGATTAACTGGTTCTTTCCCTCAAACGTCAATTTAAGTGAAGTTCCAAGGGCTTTAACACTCATCACCTGCAAATTGAACAGAATTTTGAAATATAAAAGGTGATGTACTGTGACACATAATATGAAAATCCAGTTATTTATGAATGTAACTACGTTACCCAAAAAAAACGATAAAAAAAAAAGAAGGTAACTAAAGAAAGAAGCTAATTACAGGGAAAAAAAAGCATAGAGGTCTTTAGAAACTCAGAAGTTAACAATTCATGGTAGTAACGGATTAATGAGCTAAAAGAGACTGCTTATCCTTGCTAATAGAAGAGATTGATTCCTAATTACCCATTTCAACCAACCATTTCACATGATCCATTCTTACTTGATCAAGTCTTTATCCTATAACTTCAAAACAAAATTGGGTCACTGCATAGTTTTCACCAGCTTTGTAATTCCAACAATGTAAAAATAAAAAATAAAAAAAAAAATTTAAATAGTGAATTTAAGTTATTGAAGGTTTAAACTTCATCCAATCAATTGATTCGATCAACTTCCCCCACCAAACCCAACTACAAGTCGCAAGAAAACTTTTGAACTACCATTTAACAGAGAACCCAGTTGCCGCAGAAATTGAATTAGTTTGTTTGGTCTACATATGGTTAAAGAGAGTGAATTCCAGTTATACATGCCTTCACTTCAAAGTTTCTGAGACTTCAGAGCTTGCCTTGCAATTTCGCAAGATTTATACAAAACTTTAACACTATGGCTTGGAACAAATAAAACAGGTATCAACAGTGGAATGCTGTGTCAGAAAACTTATAAAAGCAATGTGAGTCAGAAAAAAAATAAAAAATTTACCGAGAGAGAGCCCATCAGCGAACAAATGCCAGTGAAAACTAGAACGTTTGATTGCCCGCATTGAGGTGCAAAATAGAACACCAGTATGAAAACCAACACAATTACTGATCCCACATAAAGCAAAAAAGCTGAAGTTTGAAAGGTAAAAATAGTCATTCATTCATAGATGCCACATTCTAATATAGATAAAAAAAAATAAATCAAAGGAAAAGAGTGACGCTGACTTTAACCTGGCTTAGTTGCCATATTCCATATTTCCTGAGCAGAAGAGAGAGGCTGCTCCTGTGGCGCATGGATAACAATTATGACAGAACCAGCAATGCACATCACACAGCCCAAAACCCCTAGCTGGTGTAACTTCTCCTTCAAGATAAAGTGAGCCAACACAGCACTACACCATACCATTCAAAACAGGATAAACAAATCAACTACATTATATGACTGGAAGAAAACTATCATTACTTGTAAAAAAAATGAAACATAATGCCAAGATAAATTACCTAACAATAATACTTAATGCGCCAAGAGGGGTAACAAGAACTGCCGGAGCAAATGCATACGCCACAAAGTTTGCAATTTCTCCAACAATCACTATATCAGAAATCATATGACAAGAGAGATTCTGCATACTGTCAGTGGAAAGATAAAAACTCACTGTAAATCAAAGTTTTTGGTTTCTCTACTGGTACATTAACCAATTAAGAACTCCAATCAATAAAATACAGAATGGACTAACAGAAGGAACTCTAAATCATCATAAGAAAAGGTAATGAAAAATTAAATTTTCAATTGACAAAAACCCAAATTTCAATATCATGAGAGTCAATCACAATTCATGATTAATCATATCAATAACAAATATGATACCCAAAATACAGTCAAATAGTTTCAAGAAAGATATGATCATAACAATTGGCCAAACCTATTTTAAACGAGAAAACAAAAAAAACACTCACAAAAATCAAAAGAATTGTGTGTTTTTATTTTATTTTTTTGTATTATAAATAAACAAAATTGAAATGGGAAAATTGACAAACTTACGTGTGATCATACCCAACCACCAGAGAGGCTCCAGAAGATACGTATACCCACCACCGGCTACAAAAATCAAGCAAATCAAAGACTTACCCAATTGAGAAAATCAGACACCCAGATAGAAAAAATCAGAATTGAGACGGAAATCAAAAGAAAATGAGATGAAATTCACCAGCCCTAACACCAGAAGCAGCAGCTGCTCTTCTGAGGCCTTTCTTCTTGATGATGAAGCTTGCTCCAATGAACCCACTTGAAAGGAGAGCCAATAGAAACCCTTTGAGATTGTCTTTAGAGGAACCCATTACTGACTATGAATCTCTCTCTTCCTTCCTTTTCTTCTTCTCTTCATCGAAATCTTCCAATCACCATCTTTTTCTGATCATTCCATGTCATCATCATGGCAGTCAATGTGTTCTTATTTTGTTGGGTTATTTTTATAAATAGTTGGGGAAGAATTATTGTTTTGTCCAATATAATTAATGCAGCTTATTTATGTGTATAAAAAGCAAAAAGAGAGTCCACTTGGAATGCAAGTAAATCTATAACTTCTAATTTCAAGTCATCACGCTCGTACAGTGACAGGGGTAGGACTCAATCCAACGGATAATAAAATTAGCCCATGCTAAGATTGCATATTCCGCATTGTATATGATTGATCTGCAAACGAAAAACAACAACATAGGCGATTATAAAAATTGAATGAGTTTCATCGGTTACATGTGTTTATAAAAGGTTGATGTGGTCGCACTATATCATCTTCTTACGATTATTTTTTTATTAGTATTTTTTTCTATCCTCAGCTTCAGCTCACAAGTCGTGGGCTGCTATAAAAGGCTTAATTGAACTTTACTTCTTTAAAGTCCAAGGAAAATAGTCTAACGAAAAACTGTCTTGTGGAATCACAGTTTTTTAGGTTTTCATTTATCGTACAATGGAGAAAGTACTTTTGAAAATTTTATTAGAATTATTTATTTATTTATTTCAAAAGATTAAGCAACTGTATAAATTATAAAAAAATTACATGAAAGGCATTCGGCCAGAACAATCCAACAAGTGGGAACCCAAGCCCAACAAAAAAAGTTGGACTTAGAACATCAAAGGAAATAATTCGGTGCAAAGTCACACTTATTTTGTTAGTAATTGTTCAGTGCATGTGTAATGAGAAAATTATATGTACTTAATAATAAATTGTAGAATGCTCTAAAGACCTGTCACTGCATCACCATCATTGAAAAAATAAAAAATAAAACAGAAGTCCTTTACTATCTTTTTTGCACCTTACCTCATTAGTTGTCCCTTAAATAAAGAGTTAAAACATCTTTATTGACCATTTTGATATTTATTTTTCATACAATAACACATTTCTCTTTAAAATGGACAATAAAGTTAGGTTAACCAAACATAATGAAATAAGATGCTATTTGTTTGTTTTTGTTTTTGTTTTTATTTATTTATTTTTTCAAGTTCAAAGAGTTATTTGCCAAAACTATAGTTAGGAGTGTTATATGCCACAAAATAATATTAGAAGGGGGTTAAGTGCAATTAAAATTTTATAAAATATTATTCTTTGCGAATCACAATCTCGAGTATTGAATTCTCATAGGTATAAATTTTTAGGGTAAATTACATAGATTTTCGGTAAGGTTTGGATAAATTATACATGAGTAAACCGTTTAGAATTTATTATTTTGATCTCCCCTCAGATTTGACGTGTGTGCTAATGACACCCTTAGTATTTTGTTTCCAACATATATGTTATCAAATTTTATAAAATGAAGATGTGGTGTGATAGTCCAGTGGTAAGGCATGTGCTGCTTGTGGCCAAAGGCCTAAGTTCAAATCCCCACTCTATATATTTTATTATAATATAAAGGCATTATTGACTTTTATTCTCAAGTCACTTGGGTTATATCATGATGGAGATGGAGTGTGGATTCGAGCTTGGGCTTTGACCACAAGCAACGCATGCCCTACTGGACTATCAGACCACATTAATGTTGTTGGCCAATTGTTTTAGAATCGGAAGGAATAGAATTAAAGAAAAATTAAACTAAATTATTTTTGAATTCCACCGCAAGTAATAAAGGTAGTGGCAGGATCTTCGAAATAGTAGGTATTAGATCTTCAAAGTTAGGCTATATGACGGTGTTACATAAGCTCTGAAAAGTTTGTACTAAAAGAATCCTATGCCTTCACAAGGTGAACTGGGCATGACACACAGTGACGAGAGTAAATTGCTAGAAGAAAAGACAATAAAAATATTAGAACCTCTTGTCCTGACTGTATGCCAAATACTATTATTAATAGATAGATACAGAGGGGATGTCCGTACTAATTTGTTATTTGCTTGATTAGGGGACATTGATGAAGCATCCAAGAAGAAATCACTAACACGTTTCCTCTTTCCGATTGCTTGCTTGTATAATTAATCTATAATATATATATATCTATATATATATATATATATATATACACACACACACACGCTTAAAAACACATTACATACACAAAGTTGTTTATATTTTCAACCAACATGATTGTATTTTAAGTGTAAGAGAAAGAGTTGCAGTTGCTGATGCAACTTGTCTCTTTGGAAAAAAACTTATTTGAACTAGATGTATGGTGCACTCTACTCATGGAATACATTGGTTGGGTCTAATTTTTTATTTTATTTTATTTTATTATTATTATTTTTTTAATCTCAGGCTCAGACAAGCTTTTCTCATCTCTTTAAGTTTATTACTAATATAGTCCAAGAAGTCATTGTTAGCAAAAATAATTTTTGGCTTTTGAGAGTTAAAAAATAGAAAATTGTATAAAAATTGGTTTGGTTGGCTATTTCTATAAATAAATAAATAAAAACCCTATTAAGTTCCATTTAGTTGGAGAGGGGGAATGTATGAGGCAACCAAAAGAATTAAAGATGTTTTTCACTTTTTGTTTGCTTCAATAGAATAGATAATAGAAAGTATGGATGAAGAGTGATACCTTGTATTTTTTTTATTAATATACCCTCATTATATAAAATTATAGTAAAAGGTTGTTATCCATTTCAAGTTTTTGAAAAGGTTAAAATTGAGAATAATATATTTATAGGTAATTATACATTCTTTCCTTAGTCTCTTTCAGCTCATTTTGGACCGCTAAAAAAACTTTCTAAAAGCATAGACAAAAGAGTTGGTGTTGGTGTTGGTGGTGGTGGTGGTGGTGGAAGGCGGTGGTAGTTGTGGTAGAAGGTAATAGTTGTTTTTGGATTTGGAATACAAGGGTTTTTTGAAAAGTTGATTTAAAGAGAAAATGTGAAAACTCCCCGAATCTAATTTGATTAGGTCATATCACAGTTGAAAAAGAAAAAGTGTTATCGTACATCGTATAATTGAAAGAGAAAAAAAGGAAAGAAAAAAAAAAAGGAAACTAAAAACTCTCCAAAATTGAAGGGAGAGAGAGTAAAAGAAAGTAATAACAAATCCGAAATTACTTCCCATATTCCATATTTCTAAATTCGCAAAGTAAAAATTCATAAAATTATACAGTTTCAATATATCAAATCATTTTAGCACCAAGTCAAAACTTCCTCAACTATTAATTTTAACAAAACAAATACAATATTAGATAATAACTCATGGACTCAAAATATATACACACATTTAATTATTAATGTTCAAATCTTCATTAATCTATACTTTATTATGTATTACAATTTAGGACTTCAGTAATAGTTCCCTCATCTATACTATGTTATGTATTGTGATTTAGGATTTTTGTAATGGGGAAGGATAGTTTTTAGTTTTCGATTTGTGAGGGGAAAGAGAAAGTGTTTTCTATTTTTTTTTCCCTTTCATTTCCCCTTTCAGTTATACCATGTAAGAGAGCACTAAACAAGATTGATTCGGGAAGATTTCATGTTTTCTCTTTGGCATTGCCTATCATTACTCGAAATGATAAATTATAAATAAAACGAGAAGAGGTACAAAAAAAAAAAAACATTGTCAGAAAATCTATTTTTCTTCTGCAATTGTTTGAAAATGTCAAAAATCTAATTTTTAGAAAGAAAAAAAAATGTTTTGAATACTTTAATTCTAGTTTGGAACATACTTATGGTACAGGCGAGTTGCTTTTGCTCTTACCTATTTTGATACAAGGAAAAATGTAAGCCAATCAAAGAACACAAATAGGTTACTTCGAGGGAACCCAAGACCTCCGGTGTATATACATTAGTATAGATTTAAACCAGGACACTTCTCTTTATTCATTCATGTACTTAAATAAGTGACTTACACAACTGAAATCCCAAATTAATAGGACTCATAACAAACCAAAAGGATAAATCCCAAAAACTAAACGTGACTCCAATAAGATAAAAAACTCTTATCAACTAATCATATCTTAACAAACCAACAAACTTGACCCTCTAATTTTGAATTTTATTCTTCTGATAACACTATAGAACGCAACATTCCCTTCCCCTTAAATATTGCCCTTGTCCTCATGGGCAAAAATAAGGAAACCGATTCTTAATAAAATCATAATCTTCCCAAGTCGCATCTGTCGGCGAGAGCCCTTGCCAATGAATCAAAATTTCTTGCCTCTTTTTTCGCATTCGCCTGTCTAGAACTGCTTGTGGGTTTGGAAGAATCTTCTCATCTTCTTCGCTTCACCACTTCAGTTTGACCGTCTGTTTGTGGATGATAAGCCGAGCCGAAATTAAAATCAGTACCATTTAATCGAAACAACTCTTGCCAAAACAAACTGGTAAAGGCTGGATCTCTATAACACACAATGGATTTTGGCATTCCATGCAATCGAAATATTTGATCGAACACTTATGCAACTCCCATGGCCGTATATGGCTGAGATATGGCAATGAAATGAGCATACTTTGATAATCTGTCAACCACCACAAATAGAGTAGATTTTCCATTTGACGGTGGTAACCCATCAATAAAATCCATTGAAATGTCTTCCCATATTCGACTTGGCACGGGCAAAGGTTGAAGAAGGCTAGCGGGAGTGAGATGTTCCACCTTGTGACGTTGGCAGACATCACAATGTTTGATAAACTCCTTCGTATGTATTCTCATGCCCTTCCAATGAAAAGTAGAACAAATACGATGGAGAGATTTCACGAACCATTATATCATTAACAATACAAGAATTTTCAGCCAGATAAATTGTATCTTTGAAAAACAAAAGACTGTTTTGAATTTTCCAAGGGCCCAAGGCTTTGCCATCCTTGACCAATTGTACCAACCGTTGAAGAGTTGGATTATTTTGAGTCTCTTCCTTAATTGCTTCCACCCAATTTGGTATTTGTTGAGAAAGAGCAATCATTTTTCTCTTCCCTTTACTGGAGAGTGCATCAGCTACAATATTCTGTTTTCCTCTTTTGTATTTGATGACAAAATCAAACCCCATCTATTTATAAAGCCATCTTTGTTGTGCAACAGTGGTAATTCTTTGGTCCCATGGATGCTTTAGA